AAATCAAAAGAAAGCCGGAGTAGCGATACTTATATCAGACAAACTGGACTTTAAATTAAAGACAATCACAAGAGATGAAGAAGGGCACTACATAATAATTACAGGGTCCATCCATCAGGAAGAACTAACAATCATAAATGTCTACGCACCGAATATGGGAGCACCTAAATATCTAAAACAATTAATCACAAACAGAAACAAGCTTATAGATAAGAATGTGCTAATAGCAGGGGACTTTAATACTCCGCTTACAGCAATGGATAGGTCAACCAGACAGAAAATCACTAAAGAAATAATGGACTTGAAAGACACATTGGACCAGATGGATCTGACGGATATATTTAGAACTTTACATCCTGAGGCCAGGGAATTTACTTTCTTCTCAAGTGCGCATGGCACATTCTCCAAGATAGATCACATACTGGGACATAAAGCAGCCCTCAATAAATATAAAAGAATAGAGATCATACCATGCACACTGTCAGATCACAATGCTTTGAAACTTGAAATCAATTACAGGAAGAAGTCTGGAAAACCGCCAAAAACATGGAGGTTAAAGAACACCCTTCTAAAGAATGAATGGGCCAATCAGGCAATTAGAGAGGAAATTAAAAAATATATGGAAACAAATGAAAATGAAAACACAACAATTCAAAATCTATGGGATGCGGCCAAGGCAGTCCTAAGAGGAAAGTACATTGCTCTCCAGGCCTATTTCAAGAGATTAGAAAAAGCACAAGTCCAAAATCTAACAGCTCACCTAAAGGAGCTAGAGGCAGAGCAACAAGAACGCCCTAAACCCAGTAGAAGAAGAGAAATAGTAAAAATTAGAGCAGAAATAAACAACATAGAGACCAAAGAAACAATTGAACAGATCAATGAAACCAAGAGTTGGTTTTTTGAAAAAGTAAACAAAATTGACAAACCTCTAGCCAGGCTTATCAAAAAGAAAAGAGAGAGCACCCAAATAGACAAAATTATGAATGAAAATGGACTTATTACAACCAACCCCTCAGAAATACAAGCAATTATCAGGGAATACTATGAAAAATTATATGCCAACAAATTGGACAACTTAGAAGAAATGGACAAATTCCTAAACACACACTCACTACCAAAATTCACACGGGAAGAAATAGAAAACCTGAACAGACCCATAACGAGTGAAGAAATCGAATCAGTGATCAAAAATCTCCCAACAAATAAGAGCCCTGGACCTGATGGTTTCCCTGGGGAATTCTACCAGACATTTAAAACAGAATTAATCCCAATTCTTCTCAAGCTATTCCAAAAAATAGAAGTCGAAGGAAAACTCCCGGACTCATTTTATGAAGCCAGCATCACTCTGATTCCCAAGCCAGACAGAGATCCAGCAAAAAAAGAGAACTATAGGCCAATATCCTTGATGAATACGGATGCAAAAATTCTCAACAAGATCCTTGCAAATCGAATCCAGCAGCATATCAAAAGAATCATCCACCAAGATCAAGTGGGATTCATTCCTGGGTTACAGGGCTGGTTCAACATTCGCAAATCAATCAATGTGATCCATCATATCAATAAAAGAAAAGATAAAAACCATATGATCCTGTCAATAGATGCAGAAAAAGCATTTGACAAAATACAGCATCCCTTCTTAATAAAGACTCTCGAGAAAGTTGGGATAGAAGGAACCTACTTAAACATCATCAAAGCCATCTATGAGAAGCCTTCAGCTAACATCATCCTCAACGGGGAAAAACTGAGAGCTTTCCCCCTGAGATCAGGAACACGACAGGGATGTCCACTCTCACCACTGTTGTTTAACATAGTGCTGGAAGTCCTAGCATCAGCCATCAGACAACAAAAGGAAATCAAAGGCATCAGAATTGGCAAAGAGGAAGTCAAACTTTCACTCTTCGCAGATGACATGATACTCTACATAGAAAACCCGACAGACTCCACCAGAAGCCTACTAGAACTGATCCAAGAATTCAGCCAAGTTGCAGGGTACAAAATCAACGTACAGAAATCGGTTGCATTTTTATACACCAATGATGAAGCAACAGAAAGAGAAATCAAGAAACTGATCCCATTCACAATTGCACAAAAAACCATAAAATACCTCGGAATAAACCTAACCAAGGATACAAGAGATCTGTATGATGAAAAGTATAGAAAACTTATGAAGGAAATTGAAGAAGACACAAAGAAATGGAAAAACATTCCATGCTCATGGATAGGAAGAATAAATATAGTTAAGATGTCATTACTACCCAAAGCTATCTACACATTCAATGCAATTCCAATAGAAATTGCACCAGTATACTTCTCAAAACTAGAACAAACTAAAATTGAGTTTATCTGATATAAGTATGACTACTCTGGCTTTAAAAAAAAAAGTCTATTAGCATGATAAATGGTCCCTTCACTTCCCGTCCCTTCACTTCCAATCTGGAACTGTCTTTAGGTTTAAAATGAATGTCCTGTAGACAGCATATAGATAGGTCTTGTTTTATGATCCATTCTGATACCCTATGTCTTTTCATTGGAGCATTTAATCCACTTACTTTCAGAGTGATTATTGATAGATATGAATTTAGTGCCATTGTGTTACCTGTAAAGTCATTTCTTCCTTTCCTTTCTAGTCTTTGTTGCTTTTGGTCTTTCTTTCCCACTCAAAGAGTCCCCTTTAATATTTCTAGCAGGGCTGGTTTAGTGGTCACAAACTCCTTTAGTTTTTGTTTGACTGGGAAACTCTTTATCTCTCCTTCTGTTCGGAATAGCAGCCTTGCTGGATAGTGTATTCTTGGCTTCATATTTTTCCCATGCAGCATATTGAATATATCATGGCACTCCTTTCTGGCCTGCCAACTTTTTATGGAGATGTCTGCTGCTAACCTTAGTTGTCTTTCCTTGTAAATCAAGGATTTCTTTTCCCTTGCTGGTTTTAGAATTTTTTTCTTATCTCTGTATTTTGCAAATTTTACTATAATATGTCTTGGTGTTAGCCTGCTTTTGTTGATTTTGATGGGAGTTCTCTGTGCCTCCTGGATTTGGATGTGTTTTTCCTTCCCCAGATTAGGGAAGTTTTCAGTATAATTTGCTCAAATAAACTTTTTGCCCCCTTTTCCTTCTCTTCTTCTTCTAGGCCTCCTGTGAAGTGAATACTACTACACTTTATAGAGTCGTTGAGTTCCCTAAGTCTACATTTGTGATTCAATATTTTCCCCCCTCTTCTTCTTAGCTTAATTATTTTCCATAATTTTATCTCCTATATCACTTGTTCATATCACAAGTTCATCACTTGTTCGTTCCTCTACTTCTTCCATCTTTGTGTCATTACATTCAGTCACGTTTGCATCTCAGTTATAGCATTTTTTATTTTGGCTTGACTAGATTTTAGATCTTTTATCTCTGCAATAAGGGACTCCTGGTGTCTTCTATGCTTTACTCAAGCCCAGCTAGTATCCTTTTCATTATTGTTTTAAATTCTGGATTAAGCATATTTCTTATATCTGTTTCAATTAATCCCTGGCCATGATTTTTTTTTTTTATTCTTTCTTTTGGAATTAATTCCTCTGTCTTGGCATTTTGTCTAGCCCTTTGTTTTCTTCCCTGTGTTAGGAAAGCCTGTTATGTTTCCTATTCCTGACAGGAATGGCTTTATTAAGAAGAGGTCATATACTGTCCAGGGTCTGGTGCTTCAGGAAGTGTTTCTGGTGTATGCTGTGCACACTCTGCTGTTGTGTTTTGGCTGTTCTTTTCCTCAGGTCAGTCCATTGCAGAGTTTCTCCTTGCCTTCCGTGGGGAGTATTTGGACCTTGTCCACTGTGTGGTGAGTTTCAACTAGATATGCTTTGGTCTGTTTGTTAAAAGAGGCCAGATCCTATTTCCACTGTAGTTAAGGCTTTGCAGCACTCTATAGTCAGTAGACTTGGTGCATGTGATAGGTTTGTACTGGTCTTCTGGGGAGGGGTCTACTGTTGCTCTGGCTCTCAGGTATATTTGTCTTATAATAAAAGCACCTGCAGAGTGCAGAGGGGCAGGGCTTGGTGTAAGCAGCTCAAGCCTCCACTGTGGGTGCTGCACTGCTTACTGAAGTCTGTCCCTACTTCCATGATGTGGTCTCTTTTCCTCACCCTATTTGTGCAGTTTGTTCTCTCAGTCCTCAGATCAATTTCTTGGGTGTTCAGAATGATTTGATATTTATCTAACTGAGATCGAGGGAGGAGGCAAGCAGAGTGCCCCTACTACTCTGCCATCTCAGCTCAGGCCACTGAATTTTGATAAATTTGTTATGCAGCTATAGATAACTAACACAGGCAGTCTCTATGTATTTTGGTGGGCATAATAATCAATCCTCATTACCATGTGTGAGGGGCTGGGGAAGATGGGAGAACATAACACTTTTTTCTCCTCTCTTCCAGAATCCAGATTTATTCTAGGTTCTACACTAATATTGAGGCACTAGAAGATTAATCCATAGAAATGCTTTCTACAAAAGCATATGTCAGTCTTCTACTAACCAATTACAAGAGGTCTGTAGAGCCATATATCGAAGTTCCAGCACGGATCTAGAGCTTGTCTGAATCTCGTGCAGAAAATGTCCCAACCCCTACACACATACAAAGTAGTGATTTATGTTGTCCTTTCACTTCTAAAATTCCATTACATGAGATCACAAGTGAATGTATATTTTATATATATCCTCTAAAGCACTAGAAAGATGTATACTGACAATCTTTAGCAAAACTCCACAAGTATTTTTTGAATACTTGGTCCATCCATGCCATGTTTTGTGTTAGATTCTAGTGGATAAGGCAGACCAACTAGCCTACATTCCAGTGAGTTGTGTTTCTTCAAACTCTGTGGTCTTCTCTCAGGGAGTCTTCCACTCAGATTAATTTTGTGATTCTTGATTTTAGGCAAATATAAAGGTGTGAACTCAATTACAAACTTTATGTACCTTAAGAGGTTGTGTCAGTCAATCACAAACCAGAAATGTTCCTCACACTCACCCAAAAATGTCCTAGGATGTTGACTTCAAAAGTTTTGGTAATCTCTTCATCCTTGGTACTAAGAAGATCAGCTGGATATACTGTCCCAGCATTGTTCACCAAGATGGTTACATCTCCCACTTCTTTCTTTACCTTTAAAGTGAAAAAAAAAATTACTAGATGTGTTATAGAAACTCAAAGTTTTGGGGTTGATGTCATCCAGGGACTAGATTCTTTATTTCACTTGATGAGAAATCTCAAAGTTCAGGCCAGAAAGAGCTTTTGTCCAAAAAATGGATGCAAAGAGAACACTGTCATAAAGCTAGGAAAACCATGTTTTTTAACATCTGAATTTTCATACTCTGTAAATAATAGATTTTAAAAACTTATCTATAAAGTGAAATTAATATTTATGTTGATTAATTGATATATTGGTTCTGACCAAACATTGTTATAGTGCTAACTGAGTAGTCTTGTTTCTACCACCTACTAATTACATGATCATGGATGGGCTTAACCCCTCCTTAATGGAGCAAAATCTCAATTTGTTCATCTGTCAAATGAGGTTAATGGAGTTATTGTAGAGATTAAAGGGTGCAGTAGTTTATTGGAGTGCTTCGTTTATTTGATATTTACTCTTTTAAAAATGGTTATAATAATTACTAACATTACATTTTCTATAGAAGATTAGATCACTAGTAACATAAATAAAATACCATAAAGGAAATAAAGGAAAAAAAGGAATTAACTGCAAAAGTGATAGGATTAAGGAAACAAAGAAAGTGATCCTTTCTCCTGGTGATGAATCTCTTCTCTGTCACTCTATACCACTGCTCACACTTCTGATCAGAAAGAAATTGATTAAAAATATGAAATAATAATAATAATAGGCAGAGTTGAGTAGGTTCTATACAAGGAAAGAAATGCATGTCCTTCCTTATTCATACAACTACCTTAGCTAGCAGAGGCTAAAATATAATTTAAATCAAGCAGCCATAAAGAAACTTTCCATTGTCCATGGAAATAGATTCAAAATTATTTGAAGGAATTTGTACTCTGAAATCTCACCTGCTTTATGGAGTTATAAATGTCTTCTCGGTTACTGCAGTCTACCACAGACGCATGTGCGGTGGCCCCCAGTTTTCTGCACTCAGCTGCTGTTTCCTCAACACTGTGCTATAATTGGAAAAAACAAATGTAGAAAGATGTAGATCACTTAGGGAACAAGACTAGGGAAGAGAGACCTGGAGAAGAAGTTTCTTTAAAGATTAAAATTCACGTGACGCCTAGGTGGCTCAGAAGGTTAGGGTAAGTATCTGACTCTTGACCTCTGCTCAGGTCTTGATATCAGGGTTGCAAGTTCAAGCCCTGTGTTGGGCTCCACACGAGGCTCTGAACCGGGCATGAAGCCTATTTAAAAAAAAAAAAAAGATTAAAATTCATGTCCAAAATGCCCTCCTTGTTTGTACAAAAGTTTCATGAGAGACACTGCCTGCATAATTTGCAAGGAAATTATACCTGACGTTTCTGCCAGTGAGTGCTCATATTAGATATGGGTTTTCATCTTATTTGGTTACATTCTCAACAGCCATTCTGCATCTAAACAAAATAAATAAAATCTTCATGTTTTTCCAGCTTTTTATCTTGGGTTAGAGGTTCCTTGAAGGCAGTTTTTCTAAAGCAGGCTACTCTTAAGCCAGAAGAGTGTGTTTGAAAGATGTTGCTCTTTGTGGGGTCATGAATGGAGATGCTGGTGTATGCAGAAGAAAAGAAAATTCAGCTTATCACGTGACATATTGTCAAATTGTTGTTGAGCACCAACCATATAATAGGCAGTAAAGCACCAGGTAGCAATTCTAAACTAGTGGTAATTTTTAATGATATTGCCTCTGCCTGTCATACTTTTCTTGACCATTTTGATTTAAGCCTCTAGGAAGGAAGGAGAGAGAAGGATTCTTGTTCAAGGAAGGCTTTTCTAGGGAGACATTGCTACCACTCTTGGGGATATAATATTATCTTCAAGTGTTTTGGGGTGAAAAGGGGCAAAGTCCATAGTCTTATCTGTGTAAAAACTCCACACATATAATAAGTTTGTAGAAACTTTATATGTAGTAACTCCAGGACACAGAGATAGAGAAACTTATTTTTAGCCTAAATTCAAAGACTTTTTTCCTAAGATAAAATTGTCCTGATGTTTCTTGATCTGCATTTCTGGAAAATTAGAATTCCTTTCAAGTTTTGATATCCATTGATTTTATACAGAAGATTATAAGATTTTAAAAATTACACTTTTTAGGGTGCCTGGGTGACTCAGTCAGTTAAGCATCTGACTTTAGCTCAGGTCATGATTTCACAGTTTGTGGGTTCAAGAGCCACGTTGGGCTAGAGCCCCACAGCTGGCTTTGGGCTGACAGTGCAGAGCCTGCTTCGGATTCTGTGTCTCCCTCTGCCTCTCCCCTGCTCATGCTCTGTCTCTCTGAAAAATAAACAGTAAAAAATTTTTAAATTGAACTTCTTCCTCTCACAATTTGTAGATTCTTCTCTGTGATGAAGAGGCAAGGCCATCTGAAAGCCCTTCTCTCACACTGGGATGTTCACAGTGTGGTTGTTATTTAGGGCAGTCCCTGAATTAGTGGCAGGTGGTTTCCCTTAGCCAAAGCTGCCTCCCTTGGGTCCTTGCTATCCCACTACCTCAGGCTAAGTCCCAGAGCAACAGCCTGAAATCCCAAAGGACAGACCCTTGGAGAAATTAGGACACAAAGTCACAAAGCCAATATCCCCTCATAGCCTTTTGGGGCTTGCAGAGGAGTAAAGAAGGAGGAGAGGAGCTCTTTCACTGATGTAGACTTAAGTTGGTAGCTTGTTCATTGTCAGATTACAAGAACCACCATGCATTCATTTGTCTCTAGACTCATGGTCAGTAGAGAGAATTCATGACCAGAGCTTTCATCAGATGCTTTGATTGAAGAATTAAAAATGTGTCAGTCTTATAACTGAGCAAGAGAACTACAAAATGTAATGTCTTGTCTTTTTGTAAGCAAAATACTTGCTTTAGCCTCAACCCTAGTTTGCAGTGACTCCACTTTTCAGTGTTCCTAAAGCAACAGTTTAGATCAAATGAGGGCAAACTGCTAACATGGCTCTATGTAAGGCAAAAAAAGTCATTCAATACTATGAGAGATGGCACTTTCCACAGGTTAAAGGAGATCTGAGGTACATTTATAGCCTTATAGTGAATCACTTAATATCTTGAGTGTTTGGTTTTTAAGTTATTTTTTTATTTTGAGAGAGAGAGAGCACGTGTACATGTGAGTGGGGGGAGGGGCAGGGGGAGAGAGAATCTCAAGCAGGCTCTGCATTCTCAGCACAGAGACTTGGGTCTCCATTCCACAAACAAGGAGATCATGACTCAAGCTGGAAACCAAGAGTTGGTTGCTTAACCAACTGAGCCATGCAGGAGCCCCTAATACCTTTATTGTGTAACTGTAAAATTCAAGGATTCAGATACCCTATGAGGTTAGATGATGCATCCTTCAGGTAGAATCTTAAATAAGTCATTTTATTCCTTGTCACTGAAATTTTGAAAATGCAATAAATAGGGGCGCCTGGGTGGCTCAGTCAGTTAAGCATCTGACTTTGGCTCAGATCATGAACCTGCTGTTCGTGAGTTCCAGCGCCATGTAGGGCTCTGTGCTGACAGCTCAGACTCTGGAACCTGCTTCGGATTCTGTGTCTCCCTCTCTCCCTGTTCCTCCCCTACTCCCTATCTCTCTCTCTCTTTCTCAAAAATAAATATTTTAAAAAATTTTTAGTAAAATAATTAAAAATATAATGAATGTCAGTCATCTCTCCAAAACCCATATCTGGAAAGAGATTCAAAAGTTATATTTTATCAAGCCTTTTTCCTGGATTTATACTTCTTTCTTTTTTTTTTTCTTTTCTCTTTCTTTTTATTTATTTTTTAAATTTTTTATGTTTTATTTATTTCTGAGAGAGAGAGAGACAGCATGAACAGGGGAGGGTCAGAGAGAGAGGGAGACACAGAATCTGAAACAGGCTCCAGGCTCTGAGCTGGCTGTCAGCACAGAGCCCGATGTGGGGCTTGAACCCACGAACTGTGAGATCATGACCTGAGCCAAAGTCGGACGCTCAACCGACTGAGCCACTCAGGCACCCCTCTTTCTTTTTCTTTTTGATGAATGCCTAACTAAGAATAGCAGACAGAAGCTTTCTCAATTTGTAAATCTTGTCCCCTTCTAGAAAGGTCATTGGAATCTCTTCAAGGACCAACTAATGCCAAGTCACTTCCCTGTATATCAACTCATCTATTAAATGCCTGTGTCTGTTATACAGAAATATATCAACTTTTCTTTGTATAATATTCTTTACTGTCTGGAAAGAACCAGAGAAGAACTACTTTTCTAAGATCAAATGGCATTTTTTTTTTTACAGATTTTATTTTTTTATTAAAAATTTTATTAACATTTATTATTTGAGAGACACAGACAGAGCACAAGTAGGGGACGGGCAGAGAGAGAGAGAGGCACAGAATCTGAGGTAGGCTCTAGAGTCTGAGCTGTCAGAGCCCAACATGGGGCTTGAACCTGTAAGTTGTGAGATTATGACCTGAGCTGAATTCAGTTGCCTAACTGACTGAGCCATCCAGGCACCCCTAAAGATTTTATTTTTAAGTAATCTCTACACCCAACGTGGGGCTTGGACTTACAACCCCGAGATTAAGAGTTGCATACTGCTGACTGAGCCAGCCAGGTACCCCAAAGTGATATTTTTGAAGGCTTTAAAAATAGGGCAACTGGACATGACAGCAAGGAACAACAGAGAGTAGTAATATAATGGTAATTAAAATCTCACTGTGATCTGTGGAAAACAGATTCTTTTTTTTTTCATGTTTGTTTATTTTTGAGAAAGTAAGCATGGGTAGGGGAAGGACAGAGAGAGGGGGACAGAGGGTCTTAAGTGGGCTCTGTGCTGACAGCAGAGAGCCTGACATGGAGCTCAAACCCTTGAACCATGAGATCATGACCTGAGCCAAAGTTGGACACCTAACTGACTGAGCCACCCAGGCACCCAGAAAATCTGATTCTTAAAAAAGTTTGCAATTTTTCCAACCTCGAAATCTGTGTATATTTCTGGGTGTATACACACTTTTTCTGTGTATATTTTTATGGCCTTCAGAATTCAAAGTGTAGGGGAAATGATACAGAATTTCACTTACTTGAGTTTTATTTTTGAGTAGCTAATATAATATTTACAAATAACAGTACAAGAAAAATATTAATGCTCAAGAGAAAGCTGACCCACTGCATGTTTTTTTTTTTTTAAATGGCTTATGTTTAGGAGGGCCAGACATTGTTCTAAGCACTTAAAATTCACTTATTTAGGGGCGCCTGGGTGGCTTAGTCGGTTAAGCGTCCGACTTTCGCTTAGGTCATGATCTCGCGGTTCGTGGGTACGAGCCCCGCGTCGGGCTCTGTGCTGACGGCCAGCTCAGAGCCTGGAGCCTGTTTCACTCTGTGACTCCCCCTCTCTCTGACCCTCCCCTGCTCGTGCTGTCTCTCTCTCTCTCTCTCCTAGAAATAAATAAAAAACATTAAAAAAAATTCACTTATTTAATCGTCTTGCCCAGGAGTCCACAGACTTTTCCTGTAAATGGCCAGGGAGTAAAAATTTCAAGATTGTGTGGGTGGGAGAGAAGGCACTTAGAGGTTCTGTTGGATGTTCTTCTTTGTTTCTTTATTTAATTTTTGCTTTGACAACCCTGTTTCTTTTTAATTTTTTTCATGTTTTATTTATTTCTGAGAGAGAAGAAGAAGAGAGAGAGAGAGAGAGAGAGAGACAGCGTGAGCAGGGAAGGGTCAGAGAGAGAGGGATACACAGAATCTGAAAAAGGTCCAGGCTCTGAGCAGGCTCTGAGCTAGCTGTCAGCACAGAGCCCGATGTGGGGCTCGAACCCACGAACTGTGAGATCATGACCTGAGCTGAAGTCGGATGCTTAACCGACTGAGCCATCCAGGCACCCCTGAGAACCCTTAAAAAAGGTAAAAAAAAAAAAAAAAAAAACATTGCTAACTCAACAGCCTGCCCAAAGACCAGGTTTGTCCCATTAGCTAGAATTTGCTAACACCTGTTCTTACCCATCCTGTGAGGTATTACTCTCATTTCAAAGATAAGGAAACTGGAAGCTTGGAAGTAGCCTCGCTCCTGAGTCTGTGTTATTAACTTGAATATCACGGCATAAAAAAATCACTGGTTAGTTCTCAATTATGTTTCCTTTGTCAAACCATCCCAATGCACATAGAATAAGGCACCAGAGAATTTAGTTATTGAACATTAAAAAAGAAAAATACATAGGTAAGCAGATTGTTAAGTCAAATAATTTTTAAAACATGCCTTACTTGTGAGGCATTTAAAAGATGGGGCCAATGAATCCATTACCTTATTAATATCCCACAGAACCAGTCTGCTTTTCCGTTTTGCAAATTCATAGGCAGTCGACCTGCCTATTCCATGCCCGGCTCCTGTAATAAGGACAGTCTCCCCAGCCACAGATTTTCTCCTTTGGGGAATGAAAACTTTCACCAATGCTTCCAAGTAGGAGTAGATGATGGTGAGCAGAAGCAGGAGCAGATCCAAGATAATATTCATGACTGTGCTCTGTACTTCTCCTCCGGCTCAATCCTTGTCTGTCCCCAGCAAAGAGCCACCTTCAGCATAAAGCTCTAGGAGAGAGCTGTGTTGCAGATATTGAGAGGACTGGCAGAAGTAAGCCAGACTTGCAACAGGCATTCTCTACATGTTCTAATAGGCTGGCTACACCTCGAGTTTGGAAATGATGCAACTGCTACTAAAAGCTTGGCACAGAGACAAAAGAATCCTGGAGAAATTTCTCTCTGGACTTGTTCATGGAGAGGCAGTTCTGTGATGTGTTGCACAATGAAGTTCAATTATTCTACAAATAATTCTAGAGATAGTGCATCAGCTAGTGGTCTTGGTAGTCTCTTGGACTTTAAAGTTACAGGATTTATGTACTATCTCTTAGTAAACCATTTTGTGTGTGTGTATGTGTGTGTACGTTTAACTGAAGGAAAAAGAGAAAATAGAGGTATTGTCCTAAGGAGACTTAAATAAAGTATGGGCTACTCAAGCTTAGTTTGATTCGTTTATTCATGAAAGCTCAGCATCAATATTTCAGTTAACTTTTTTTTTTTTTTTACGTGAGATGCCCATTTCCCTGAAACCCTCTTAACTTTGGGGGAGATTGGAGGTTATATAAAGCAATCAATTTCCTTTGTGATACTATGGGAATGAGCATTAGATCAGGAGTCAAAAGTCTCCACTTAAAAGTGATAGACTACTAGACACAACAGCCCAAGTGTCTATCAACAGATGAATGGATAAACAAAATGTTATATATATACATACAATACAATATCATTCCTCTTTTAAAATGAATGTGACTCTGATATATGCAACATGAATACATGAATACAACATGAATGAACCTTAAAAACATTTTGCTAAGTAAAAGATACAAAAGGACAAATACTGTTTGACTCCACTTATATAACCTACATTAGCCAAATACATAGAGACAGAAAGTAGAATGGTGGTTTTTAGGAAATAAATTATTTCTTTGGAGACCACAACATGAGAACGTTATAGGATTTATGTACATTTCTACAACCCACTGTTTTAGTGTAACTATAGCAGTCAGCCAAGTAGAAGTTAAGGATTATAATCTCTTCAAATAAATACTTTTCCCTTCCATTCTGGAGGCTTCATTAGTACATTGTCAAGGGTTCTGTACCCTGCCAAACTGATAAAGCAGTATTAGGTAGCCTTAAATGTCTTATAAACTTCTTGAGGCTCCAAAACCTAGTTCCTACCTGAACAAATCCCAAGTTCACATCTTATAGAGACCTTTACATATTTTGGTTTATGAAGCCCCTTGCTTCCTCTCTGCATATCAATTCTACTTTTTCTTTCCTTACAGTAGCAAAGAAAGGGTCTTGATCTCTCTTGTGTACTTCTCATGAATTCTTTCCTTGTTCCTCTATTCTTTTTTCCTATTAATTCCAACTTCTTCCTGCCTACTGGACCTGTCTTTTTTGCTTTCAACTATCTTCTGATCTCTCCTATTATAAAAATATTCTGTGAAATCTTTCCCTACCTCAACCCCCTTCATCCTGTCTTTCATACCTTGCTGTCAAATTATTATATAGCGATTACCTTTGTTCTCTGGCTACCCATTTCTTTGGGAGAATAGAAATCTCTTGCCTCTTTATTCTCCACTGTGCGAAGTGCTATGGTGGTCCTAAATATAAAGAATATATATATAATTACATAATTTTAGTTTTCCAAAAATCCCTTCTTTGTATAGTCCCAATCCCATAATGCTCCCGTGAGATGGTCGCAAAGACAGACAAAGGGGTGGGAGTGCCCCCTCTAATGAGGAGACCAGTCAGATGCCAGTCTGGCCATGTCCCAAAGGAACTTAGGTGACACTTAGCGGTAGTGGTCTCAGCTTTGAGAGTTATGATTGGAAACTATTCCGATGCTGCCAGACTGTATGCCAATCACCACGGAATCGCAGACGGGCCCACTCAGACTCTATAGGCTTTTTGGGACCTTGAGGGTTCCCACCCGTGCAGTGCAGAGCCTGATGCAGCTGGAACTCATGAACCATGAGATCATGACCTGAGTCGAAATCAAGAGTCAGACACTTGACTGACTGAGCCATCTAGATGCCCCTGGATATGTTTTCAAGGTAGAACAAACAGAATTGGTTTTTGTAGTGAATGTGGGGAGTGAGAGAGAGGAATCAAGGATGATACTAATTTTTTTTTTACCTGAGCAACAGGTTTGGAATAATGGGGTTTGGAAAAGGTTTGCGATAATATCAAAATCTCAGTTTCAGAAATACTATGTTGAAATGCCTGTGGGTCATACAGGCAGAGATACCAAGAAGGTATTTGCATACATGTGTGGTATTCAGAGGAGAGATTCAGGCTGGGAATATAAATGTGGGAATGGTGACCAATATTTAATGTTTGTGCCAAGGATTAGAGGATTTTGCTGAGATGAGGGATGATGGTGAACAGAGAAAATGAGGTAGATGTAATTCCAGGTTTTTAGTTTGGACACTTGTTAGATGTGCCATCTGTGTTAGGGAACACAGATGGTATAAAGAAGATGCTAGCTTGAATTAGCTTGCCCAGTGCTCTTTTTGCCATACTAGGCCACCTGCAATTATAGGGAAGTCTATAAAATTATAGGGAAATTATAGGGAAGCCTATTTCTCTAATCCTGAGATTGTCCAGTTATCCCTACACCAATTAAAAAAAAAGAGAAAAATTAATTTGACAATAAACTATTTGTAAAAAAAAAAAAAGAGAGAGAAAAAGAAAAAGAAAAAAAATAACTTGAGTGGTCAGATTGGCTCTAAAGTCAACTGGGATTTCCTATTTATTTTGAGGAAGGATGAGATGTCCAGTGCAGATTAAGACTATGCCAATATTTTCGGGCTCAGCATTTTAATTTCAGGAAACTTTAGACTGTTCTGATATTGGGTCAGTTCAGGCTAGGATTTTTTTAGTAGATTACTTGGGCATCTAGGATTTAGGATTTCATTCTGCCTTAAAAGAATTCCTAGATGAAATAGCTTCAATTCTCATCAGAGATTTTCATTGGCTAACTATGGAATATTGTTTGAATACCAAGGAAAGCTTGGGTAGAAGGAAGCAGAGGGTGCTTCGGGTGATGGTTCAACTCTCCAGGAGTTCCACTGAGGTTGTACGATACTGAGGTCAGCGAACTGGGGTTCAAGTCCTCAGCTTGACCTCTAAGTAGCTGTGTGATTCCAGGTAAATTTGGTGAATGTCTTTGAGCTACCTCATCTATGAAATGGGAATAACGATGTCTATCATCCAGAATTCTTCAAGGGAGTAAATCTATCACCCAGCCTTGGAGAGGAGGCTCTTAATAATTGCTCCCCACCCCCCCCCCCCGTAAAATCCTTATTAGCAATTTACTCACTAGCCACGTTGGTGTTGATAACCTACTAAGGGTCAATTTTAACCCTTTTCCTTGGCTTGATTCCTCACTCTTTCTAATCTTTGTTTCCATTAAAAAGAATAGATTTCTGGCATGAGAATGGTGGCATGGGGACAGAGTAAGCAAGAGTGCTTCTGAAGGCAAGAAATGGGAATATTCTCAAAAGAAATAGGAGAAGCCAGTGAGTCCTAGTTGTCCCATGGCAGGGCTCCAGGGTGATCGCAAGGGCTCCAGAAGATTTTATGGTGTGTCCTTGCCAACAGTCACAAAAGAGAGAGCCATCGGTCATCAAGGTCCTACTTTAGGACCACAGAGAACTGTAATAGTTGATTGACAATTAGAGAAGTATTTCCCATTTACTCCAAGCCAATTGTAAGCCTCTTTGGTTTTGGTGTGACTCTCAGAAGTAGCCCTATTGATGGTTAAGATGGGTTAAGATGAGTTTTCCCACTAGATTGTTAGGATGTGGGTTCAGAGTTAGAATTACTTCATTCAAATAACAGTCAAAAGTTTTCAGACTTAGAGTCATAGCAGTAATTGCCTGATGTTAGTGAATCAGAGCAAGCTTTAAAAAAAAAGAAGGCAGAGAACAAAACCCCAGAAAACAGTATTCATTAACCTTTAAACAGAGTTAGGGCGTCAGCCTCTAAGGCTCTCGGTTCCTGCTTGCTACAGGAATTTCAGCAATTCCGTCCACGACGCCTACTACACAGACTTGCTGGAGGATTAAATGGCAAACTGTGCCTAGCATGTGGTTAACATTCATAAACGGGACTGATTACCATTCTGTCAGCATACTTTCCAAGAAGTCGTATTTATTTCTCATAATAGTTAATGCCAGAATCCTTCCAAGTGTTAATTTCTGACAAGTGTGTTAAGAGCTAAACATGTTTATTGTTAAAAGAGGAAAGTTATCGGTATTCTCCGGGCCTCAGTCACCTTACTGAAGTTTCACTGTGTTTTCTCCTACCCTACTTTATTATTCTGCTTGGCAAGTTGGAGCAGGCATAACTTAATCAAAATAATAAATACTACATGTATTTCAAAATGAGTCCCAAGCTGACTGTAAGAGACTCTTCAACCTTCTAGTGTCACTGTCACCTAACAAGACATGGTTTAGGTAAATCTACAAATTCTGTGGTTATTCACAGGTACTCCAGTAGAGGGCTATCAGAGCATGGCTAATGTGTGGAGAAGAATCTAAAGTATGTTATTCAAATATGACAATGTTTTTGAAGACAGGCATTTTTGACTCAGATATGTATTTATATCAGTTGAATGTAGAATGTAGTCTGACAGCAATTGTATTTGGATTCTCTGTATTAGAGGATAGTTGATGGCAGGAAGAACATTATTGCAGGAACACCTGCTGTGGAATATTTTTGTATATTATATAATCTGCAGTATAACCCTCCTTAAGAGGATTATCATATGATCCTTATCATCTGCAGTGGCACTGATGACATTACTTAATTGTTGAATAAGCCAAGTGTTTAGGACAGTACCAGACACATATTAAATAAATATAAGTTTTGGGGCAACTGGGGGGCTCAGTTGGTTAGGTGTCTGACTCTTGATTTTGGCTCGAGTCATGATCTTACAGTTCGTGAGTTCGAGCCCCATGTTGGGCTACATGCTGGTGGTGCAGAGCCTGCTTGGGATTCTTTCTCTGCCTCTCTGCTCCTCCCCTGCTCACTCTTTCTCTCAAAATAAATTAAAAAAAAAAAAAACTTTAAGAAGTTAAAAAAAGTAAAACTAATACATGTTTCTGTTTAGAAACAGAATCAAGATCTTTTACCATGAAATTTCTGTATCTAAATGTGACTCATTTACTAGATTTCACAAGGGTCAGTGATTCTGAGTTATGTTATCTAAGTATGAACCTTTTGATGGAAGGACCAAAGTTCTTTACTTTGTGTATATGTGTCTAACACAGTCTTTGAAATATTTTTCTTCAATAGAAATCCAACAGACCTGAATTATTTTTTCAATTCATATTCTCATTTCACTGAGCCTCACTTGTGTCCAGAAAATTTCCAGATATCAAAAAAAAAAAAAAAAATCTTTGACTATATAATGCAATTTCCTTTAATTTGAAGGATAAGTCAAGTTTTCTGTTCAAGACAAAAAGATAGAGACAAAAGTTTAAGTTTGAATTGTTTATTGTTGCCACTCTGGGTGCATTCTCCTGATTCTCTGCCTCAGATCCCAACGGTGATTTTATACCTGCAACATGTGTCCATCTGACATTTCCTTGAGCTGAAGTGTTTGGCTTTGGAATGAAACAACATAGTAATGTGCAGGATGAAATGTTTGAGCAGTATTTCTTACATCATATGAAACTCATTGTGAAATGCCATAAGATACAGTTTTTCATTTAGAGAGCCTGAAGTGTTTGTTATATGGAGAATAGAAAAGGAAACAGGTGAATTATATAAAACTTAACTGCAATTAGAAAGAACACTATATCTTACACATTTATAGTACAAATTTTGCAAAGCCTTCACAAGCCACAAAATCTTAGAAATATTATAAAATTATTTTTGTTCCTTTTCTCCATTTTCTATAATGTCAGTTCCTAAGATATCCCCCTCTTTGTATTATATGAAATTAGCTTTCAGCTAAAGGAGAGGTGGTAATACATGTGAACTGCCAGGGCATCAAAAGATTATATTGAAGAAAAAAAGATATTAGGAAAAGCAGAAATCTAAACATTAAAATTCTGATGAACATTAGATGAAATCCACTTAAACCTGGTAAATTAGTTTTATTTATGGCTAATGTTTGAAGGAGAACTTGAGTTATGTTACTTAAGTATAATGATGTTTTGGAAGGCAGGCATTTTTGAAGATATGTATTTACATCAACTAAACGTAGAATGTAGCCCATGTCGGACTTATTGTCCTTTAGTTTTATATCCAATAACTGCATCAAACCTAATATCGATCTTTTGTTTTAAAAATGCCAGGAAGCGCTCAGGAAGGATCCTAAAAAAACGATACATGAAAATAATTAGGAAATTAATACTAGGTGCAATTATAAAACATCTTATTTTAAAATATTTACATCTATTATGTATCATCTACTTTTTTGCATGAGAAAAAGAACTTTTTAATATATATTCTATGATTAGACAGCTATCTGTGCAATGTATAAATCAAATACTGGAATACAGTCATGCAGCCCTGGGATAAAAGGAGAGGAAGTTGGAGCAGGTACATAAAAAATAGAAACTATTTTGTTGGGCTTCCTTTTTCTCTTTCTCTGTCTTTTCTCTCTCTCTTCCTCATTTAAGAATAAGGAAGTTTTTTGGATATTTCTTAAAAAGACAGACTTTAGCCCCATTGCCCTAGTCCCCACCTAATAATGAATATACTTTTTTTTTTTTTGTAGGCTTCATGCCCAACGTGGGGCTTATACTTATGATGCTGAGATCAAGAGTCACATGCTCTACTGAGTGAGCCAGCCAGTCCCCCCAATAATGAATATTTTTAAACTTTCCCCATTATAATGCTATTTTCTCATCCACTTCTGGCTGTGGAAGCACCTGTAGGTTGGAGGTTTCTGTCTTATGGTCTATGGAGAGCCTTGGATGGATATGTACAAATAAGCCTGTCTAAAAACTGAAGACATGGTGTTGTATGGAAACCAACTTGACAATAAACTATTTAAGAAAAAAAAAACATAATTTGTCTCTTACTTCTCTGGACTACTTTCTAGTGAATGTACGTTTGCTGTGACAGCTAACATAACAATTAAAAGGAAAACATTATCCTATTAATAGCAACTTTGTGTCATCAGTGGTTTCATAATCAGTAGAATATATTTCTATAATCTGCCAGTATGGGTGTATCCTTTATCATGTATCATCTTACACGAGATTAAGAACTTTAACTCTGAGTCACTAATATATTCTTTCCAATTAAATCCATTTTGTTTTCAAAAGGAAAAGGAAGGTTTAACTGCCTTTAGGGTAGGAGTGACTTGAAATATTTGGTTTTTGAAATAAATACACTCCCATATTCTTCAGAAAATTCAGAGAGGAAGTGTGTAGAACTAAATAGTTGAGATGTTAAAGGGTTTTAAAACATGAAACATCACATTGGGAAGGAAGTGGGAATAGGAATTAATTTTACAGTTTGTAATACAAAATATTACTCAAATACTCCGCTAAGTAAGAGACTAAAGAAACAGACCGCTAAATGAAAATGCAGAGAATGCATTTGGTTTTGAGCATAATGCTGAACAAATTATTTAACTTTTGACTTTAAACTCCTTATGTGAAAATGGAAACATTAATATCTACTCCACAGTGTTTTTGTGAAAAATTAATGTGCTAAAATAAAATACTTTAAATATTTTATTTTGTGCATGATAGAAACACAGTAGGTCTCACTTATTTCTCTCCACCCTATATAGGCATACCTTGAACACGTTGTAGGTCTGGCTCCAAACTACCATAATAAAGCAAATACCACAATAAGGTGAGTCAAATGAATTTTTTGGCTTCCAGTGCATATAAAAATGATGTTTATACTCTACTGTGCTCTATTAAATGTGCAATAATATTATGTCTAAAGCAATTTTATATGCTTTAATTAAAAAATACTTTATTGCTAAAAAACGCTAACCATCATCTGAGCTTTCAGCAAGTTGAAATCACCAATCATAGATCACCATGACAAATATAAAAAGTCTGAAATATTGAGAGTTATCGAAATGTGGCACAGAGACATGAAGTCAGAAAATGGTGTTGGAAAAATGATGCTAACAGACTTGCCTGATATAGGATTATCACAAACCTTCAATTTGTTAAAAACACAATATCTGAGAGGTATGCCTGTATTTAAGAATATTGCAGAACTTGTCACAATCCAATGAATTTGAGAAGATCTAAACAGAATATGTAAGTCAGTGTAACTATAGTTGACCCTTGAATAACACACATATATCTTTGACTCCCCCAAAAACTTGACTACTAGTAGCCTACTGTTGACTGGAAGCCTTATTGATAACATAAATAGTCAATTAACACATGCTTTATATGTTATATCTATACTATACTCTCACAATAAAGTAAATTAGGGTAAAGAGAATGTTATTAAGGAAATCACAGGAGAAAATACATTTATAGTACTGTACTGTACTTATTAAAAAAAATCCACCTATAAATGGACCCCTGCAGTTCAAACCAATGTTGTTCAGGGTCAACTGTATATATAGACATCTGACCAGGTGGCATTAAAATAAGGCTTGGCAACTGAGCACTGAACATTCACAGCCAGAAAAAATCAGGGCAATGATAAGAATAGTGTTAATAATAATAAAAATAGCTGTACATAATATTTATTGAATACTCCAAATGAATCATTTTATTTATTCCTCACAGTCCTACAAAGCCTTACTGTCTCCATGTGACAGATGAAGATATTGAGCTTCAAAGAAATTAAACAACTCATCTGTGTTTGTGTTATGGGCAAGTCATAAACACAGCTTCATCTAACTCCAGAGCACAAACTTTGAGTCTCTATGCTAAAAGTCTAGGAAACAGAATTAATTTATTCAATCAACAAACATTTTGGTGCCCCGCTATGTGTCCATCAACTCTCCAAAGTACAGGGCTTACATACAGTGATGAAAAATAGGCAAACTTCCTTCCCTCACAGGCTTACATTCTAAAGGATTGTAATCACTCAGTGCTTACTTATGAAATGCAACAAGTAAAATGCTAAACACTACACAGGTTTTAACTTGGTTATTTACCAAGGAGATCCTTGAGTTTCATTATCTAAACCTCTAAGGTATGTTCAACTATAATTCCTTGTAGAAGGGGCTAAAAAGCCTGACATGTGTCACGTATGCTCTTGATCTCTTGAAATATTTTCAGTTCCTAGGACAGTAATTCTCAAAATATGATCTTTGAACCATCTGTCTATGGCAGTTGTCTGTGAAAACACAGATGTCTAGGTCCCAACCAAAACATCCTCTATTAAAACCTCTAGGGGTGAAACCCAAGAATCTATTTTTTAAAATATCTTCCTAAGCAATCCTGATGCCCCGCCATATTGCAGAAGCCTGACTATAGGGACAAAGAACAGGAAGCTTCCTCCTTTCCTTCCTCCATCCCTGCCTTCCTCCCTCCCTCCCGTCCTTCCTTCTTCCTTCTTCCCTCCCCTCCTCCCTTCCTTTAACCTAAGCCACCTCTTCACCTTCCCCTCACTACCTGGACCAGCCTCACTGCCACACAGTGTTCCCATATAAGTAATGAGGCTATGTGTTTTGAGGAAAGTTGAGGCAATGTGTTATGAGGAAAGTAGTTAATCCAGTGGTTTCCGATCTTGGCAGTACATCAGAATTACTGGGAAAGTTGTATCTCTCAGAGACCAGGCCATACTCCAGACCAATGACATCAGTCTTGGAGAGTAGGTCCTAGGCATTAGTATTTTGAAAACTCCTAAGTGACTTCCAATGTGACTAAAGCTGAGAGCTACTGCTCTAAAGTAGTACTTCTCAAATTTGAATATGCATTCAAATCCACTACTTGCAGATCTTACTAGTATGCAAATGATGATTCAGAAAACTAAGAGTGTCTGTATTTCTAACAAACTCCTAGGTGGTGCTGAGGCTGCTGGTCCGTGGAAGTAGCAAGGCTCAAGGATCTTTAAAATTGTAGAAGACTATTTAACAATTTCTATGGCTCAGAATGATTTTGCACAAAACAAGAAATCAGTGATTATCTGTCATATATTTAAATGAATATCTAAAACCTAACTATGATCTCTAATATTGTCCTATGATTCTATTATGTAACAATGCTTAAAAACTATTCGTCTTTGGGGTGGCTCAGTCAGTTCAACACTGGACTTTGGCTCAGGTCATAATCTTACAGCTAGTGAGTCTGAGCCCTGCGTTAGGCTCTGTGTTGACAGCTCTGAGCCTGTAGCCTGTTTCAGATTCTGTGTCTCCCTCTCTCTATCCCTCCCCTGCTCGTGCTCTGCCTCTCTCTCTCTCAAAAATAAACATTAAAAAAAATTAAAAAAGAAACAAAAATCCCCTATCTTTCTTTATAGTCATTCATTTATGAGACAAAACTTCCAGAAATATACACACTTCTTTCTCTAAAAAAAAAAAAATGACTTTAAAACCTGTGGAAATGATTCACTTCATTCACCCAACTGCTGTACAAACCCTGTTTCAAGGATTAACAAATGTGGTTTTAAAAACTGAGGGACTGGGGCTCCTGAGTGGCTCAGTTGGTTAAGCATTTGGCTCTTGGTTTTGGCTCAGGTCATGATCTCACCGTTTTGTGAGCTTGAGACCCACATCTAGCTCTGTGCTGGCTGTGCAGAGCCTGCTTCAGATTCTCTCTCTCTCTCTCTCTCTCTCTGCCCTTCCCATGCTCACACTCACTCACTCTCTTTCTCTCTCTCTCTCTCAAAAATAAATAAACTTAAAAAAATACTTAGGCTTATTTAAGCCTATCATTTTTATTACCTTAATTTTATTTAATTGTACTTTATCAAATGTCTGGTTTCAAATCTGAGTACAAATAGATAATACATAAATCTTTGTTTATAATGCTGATAGAAGTAACTGTCGCTTACCTTTCCACTAATACTAACAAGCGTATAGAAGATGGAATAAAAATCATTTTCTGCTCAGTCAGGATCCCATTCATCAGCTTGTCTACCACTTCCTCAGGTTCCAGGATGGGTCCCAAACTGAAATCAGAAGCAGTCGTTAGCAACAAAACATTTCCTGAAACTTTAGCTTTAGTTCTATGCTAAACAACTGTTAAATTACCACAGGAATCATAACATAAAGGACTTGTAGCATCTGACCCATTGTAAGTGCTCAAAAGTAGTAGCTGCTTTAGCATTAATAATAGCCACCATTTATTCAGTGCTTCTCATGTACTGCATGCTGTGTTAAACAGTATACAGAGGCCCCCTCACTGAAGTTCTACAACAGCCTGCAAAGGAGATATGACAGTTCCTATTTTGCAAATGAGAATTATAGAACTAGCCAGGACTCGAAAATAAATCAACTAGATTAAGACTGACAGATTCACTTCTAATCTTTAGAAGTCTTGGGGAAAAAGTCAAATACCGTTATACAAGCTTTACTATACACGAAGACTCTTTAGTGAACAATTTCTAAAGTGTCAGAGAAAATTAAAATATAAAAATGTGCCCAGTTCAAGGTCCTTGATCTCTATATGGAACCCTTACATTTACTAGGTCTTGATTTAATTTTTGGTTTTGTTACTTAGTTCTATGCTGCATCTTCACTGTCTAAACACCCTGTCATATGCACTATGTGGTCCCTAAAAAATGGCCTTTGTTATCTGTGTGTTAGAACACGTGTGTTTAGAATGGTGTTACACAAGGGGTGCCTGGGTTGCTCAATCGGTTAAGTGTCTGACTCTTGGTTTCAGCTCAGGTCATGATGTTGTGGTTTCGTGAGCTTGAGTCCTGCATCAGGCTCTGCACTGACAGCGTGAAGCCTACTTGGGATTCTCTCTCTCCCTTTATCTCTGCCCTTCCCATGCTCTTGCCCTCTCTCTCTCAAAATAAAAAAAAAAAAAATTTAAAAGGGGGGGGCACCTGGGTGGCTCAGTCGATTGAGCGTCTGACTCCTGGTTTCCACTCCTGTCATGATATCACAGTTTCTGAGTTCAATGCCCAAATCAGGCCCTGTGCTCGCAGTGGGGGCCCTGCTTGGGATTCTCTCCCTCTCTCTCTGTACCACTCCTGACTGTGCTTTCTCTCTCTTTCTCTGTCAAAATAAATACATAAACTTAAAAAAAAAGATGGTGTTACACAATAACTGGTTGTCAGTTTTTAACATTTTATTAATGACTTAGAAAAAAAGGTACATAATTAAATACACTCATGAAATTTGCCAACATCACCAAACTAAGTGACTAACATTTTGGGGTGGCAGAGTTTAAATATGTGTGACTAGTTAAGAGAAGTGAGACAAAAAGAATTGGATTGGAGTCGTTAGGAACAAATACAGAATAGTTTATTCAGATAGAAAACATATGCAGTAAAACAGGGGCACGTGGGTGGCTCAGTCAGTTAAGTGTCCAACTTCGGCTCAGGTCATGATCTCATGGTTTGTGGGTTTGAGCCCCATGTCAGGCTCTGTGCTGACAGCTAGCTCAGAGCCTGGAGCCTGCTTTGAATTCTCTGTCTCCCTCTCTCTCTGACCCTCCCCGATCACGCTCTCATTCTCTCTCTCAGAAATAAACATTTAAAAAAATTTAAAAAAAAGAAAACGTATGCAGTAAAATAAAATTAGGACAGTTGAGAAGTACAGTAGTGTGCTTATAAGGGAATGTGCTCTAGAACACTGTGTTCACCCTAGACCCTGATGAATTACATACAAAAAAAATCTGAAGATGCAATAGGAAAGAAAATATAATAATAAAGGTGATCGCTTTTGGCCCAGAGGAGGCAAAAGAAGCTTGAAGACTAAGCAATCTGTTAGCCTGTGGCAATAGGCAAGGTATTAGATATTAGGGCAATAGGGCAATAAATCTAGGAAGTGAAGGATGCTTGTGCCTTGAAGTATCCAGAAGGAAAGTCACTTTCTAGCATATTGCTACCAGACTTCACTATTCCCAAGCTCCATGAAAGCTCACAAACACCTGTGTAAACAGTATGACATACTCCCTCATTCACACAGTGGTCTTGTGAACCTATCAATCAAATGGTGTTGCACTGACTAAACTTTTCTTAGTGTATGTGATCTCTTTATCCAAAGTTTTAGACTCTGCAAGAAAAAATTCGTTAAATATAATGGCTAACAAATATCATGATTTTTAAAAGACCAAAAGAAAAGGCTTCTAGAAAATCAATTTCTTGGCAGAATAAAGTCTTAATCATTAAAATATCAGTACATGGAAAAATGTTTTCCCATGACAGTCTAATGTTAACAAGAGTTGCAAATCCTATGAAATAAATATTCAATGACCAATTTTGTAGAAACTATTAAAAAATATTTCAGGCATACCTGTTAGTGTGGAGTAGGAGAATGCACGTGGGGCATAGGAATACTTAGGGACATAGGGTGTCTTCAGGTAGAAGGACTATGTTTGATTAACTACCACGTAAGTAGCTGAGTAATTTGGGGGAATATATTTCTACTCTTTAAAGTTTAGACTTTTTTGTTTTTGTGTTTAATCTGAAAAATGGGGTTAATGGAGTGGTATGCTAGCAAATGTTTCACAACTGGCTCTTTAGGGCACAGAGTTACCTGTTTTGTACCATTTATTTTCTGTGGTGGCCGATTTTAAGCTATTAACGTGGTGTCCCTGAATGACTATAAGCTGGCTTTAGCACTCCACTGGTAATGTGTATGGAAGTACTTTACACATTAATATGATACAAATGTTACCTATCACCTTCTAACATTTTCTTTTTTATGGTATTAGCCAACAAAAACTAGTATCTTTCTGTAGCACACACAAACACTAAATTTTTAAAGACAAATTTTAATGCATATTTTATGGAGGAGGATAGATGTTTTTAAAAGGATATCAAACAAAAATAAATCTTGACTGTCAAAAAAATTGATCAGAATATCTAATTACATTTAACTCATACATTCAGATTATGCTACATTGTTTATATCACTAATTGGAGACAGGTAACTTAAATGAGAGAAAAACATTTATTTTTTATTTATTTATTTATTTAAAAAAATTTTTTTTAATGTTTTATTTATTTCTAGGAGAGAGAGAGAGAGACAGCGTGAGCAGGGGAGGGTCAGAGAGAGAGGGAGTCACAGACTGAAACAGGCTCCAGGATCCGAGCTGCCAGTCAGCACAGAGCCCGATGCGGGGCTCGAACCCACGAACCGCGAGATCATGACCTAAGCGAAAGTCGGACGCTCAACCGACTAAGCCACCCAGGCGCCCCAAACATTTATTTTTTAAAAGAAACTTAATTTTTTTTTATTTGTGAAAGAGAGAGAGAGAGAATCCCATGACCCTGGGACCATGACGTGAGTTGAAATCAAATGTTAGATACTCAACCGACTGAGCCACCCAAGTGCTCAAGGGAAGAACATTTTATGAAAAGTTGTTCATATACCTAATGATAGAGCTCCAAAATACATGAAGGAAAAATTGATGGAATTGAGAAAAGACACAGTTTAAAAAGATGAATTGGAGACATTAATTTTACTTTCAACAATGAGTTGAACAATTAGATTAGCAAAGAAATAGAAGACTTAAAACAAAAGTATAAATCACTAGACCTAATAGCATCTGTAGAACACTCCACCCAACAACAGAAGAATTCATAATCCTCTCAAGGATACAAAGAATAGTGCCAAGGACAGACTACATGTAAGACCACAAAAGAAGTCTCATTAAATTTAAAAAGACTAAAGTCATACATAATATGTTCTCTAACCACAATGGATTATGATCAGAAACCAGTTAACAGAAGGAAAACTGGAAAATTCACAAGTATGTAGAAATTAACCAATGGGACAAAACAAAAGCAGAAGACATTAGGAAATACTTCGAGATGAACAAAAAATCCACAACATACCAAAATTTATGGGATGCAGCAAAAGAGTACTCGGAGGGAAATTTATAGTTTTAAATGCCTTACATAAAAATTATAGCTGTAAATGACTACATTAAAAATAAATCCCAAGATCTCAAATCCATAACCTAACTTTTCACCTTAATAAACTAGAAAAGAGAACTAAACCTAAAGCAAGCAAAATGGAAGAAATAATGATTAAAGCAGAGATAAATTAAATGGAGAACAGATTATAGTAGGAAAAAAAAAATCAATGAGACCAAAAGTTGGCTCTTTGAAAAGGTCAACAAAATTGACAAAACTTTTAGCTAGACTGACTGAGAAAAAAGAGAAGACAAACTATTATGAAAATAAAAACATTACTGCCGAGTTTATTAACATAAAAGTGTATATAAGAGAATACTATGAACAACTGTATGCCAACAAGTAGGTGACCCAGAAGAAATATACACATTCCTGGGAACACACAAAGCACTAAAACTGATTCAAGAAAAAAAATCTGAGCAACCTTTAACAAGAGATTAAATCAGTAATGGAAAAACCCCCAGCAAAGACAAACCCAGGACCAGATGGCTTCATGAAATATGCTACTCAATGTTTAAAGAATGAACACTGGCCCTTCTTAAAGTGTTTCAAAAAGTTCTCTTTTTGAGCTAGGAAAAGCTCTATTTTTTAAAAATACATTTTTATATTTCAAAATACATTTTGTATTTCAAAAATACAATATTTTTAAAAAGATAGAACTCTTCCTAGCTTAGTCTATGAGGCCAGAATTACCCTGTAACTAAAGCTGGACTAAGGTATCACTAGAAAATTACATAAACAATATCTCTTGTAAATATAGATATAAACATCCTCAACAAGATCCAGCATCAAACCAAATCCAGCATCACAGTAAAAGGATTACTCTTACCAGGGCCAAGTGAGATTTATTCCAAGAATACAAGCTGGGTCACCATATAAAAATCAATCATTTTTATACCATATGATACCATATGAAAAACTCCACATGATCATCTCAGTAGGCACAGAAAAAGCATTTTGCAAAATCAAACAGGCTTTCATGGGGGGAAAAAAAGCACTCACCCAACTGGGAATACAAGAATTTCCTTAAGCTGATTTCACAAGCACTATATAATGCAGCCTGGTTTGTGTAA